CGTGCTAATTAAAGCGACCGCGACACAGGGCGTGTGAAATTATTATGGAGTGTAGATGCAGCTGCGAGGTTCCTGAAAATGATACGGATAGCAGCGAGTGGTCTCTGTGGCCAGAAATTGCAATATTGGAGCGCCGAGGTCAGCCATTTAATGGCAGTGCCATTCAAACGCTTCCATCTGCAGCTCCTTGATATGAGCTCCATGGCCAAACTTCAACAGAAGCCGCAAAACTTTTAGAGTCCTGTTCAAATGGAGCCCATCACATATTAAGCGACTTAAGCTACGAAGTTGTGGACTCTGACTTATGGAAATTAATTTGAGCTCGAGAAAGAAAGCAAATTGCTGGCACATGAAAATAAAATCAAGGGGAGTAGTAGCTTCAGCTCAGTAAATATGACTCAAGGACACTTGGCTGGCTGTGGAATCCCTTTGGCCACTTACACTCGAGCAGGCGGAATCTCCGGCCACCTCCACTTCCTCCTCCTCCGGAGCCATTTGAAATGTGATTTTAATACTTTCTCGCACAAAGCTACTTAAAGTTTGCCCTGCTTGGCGCTTAATTCGTTTTCGTTTCGTTTCGTTTCCTTCCTTCCTTTTGTCAACAGCTAACAAAACAAGCCAAAAAAATAGAAATAAAAGTTTTTGTAAATTGAGTTAAGTTAATTTTTCTTTGTTTTAGCAGAGTTCTTGTCTTTTTTCGCTTTTTCGCTTTTTTTGCTATTTTCGGCAGTGCGAAGTTTGCGCTTTGGTTTGCCTAATAAATGTGCGTGCAAACAAAGAGCCACAATACACGTACACGAGGGCGACTGAGACGGACGATGGGCGATGGGCGAGCGGGAGGGCACTAGTGGATAGACAGTTGTTGCGACAGCCAAAGGATAAAGGATAATGACAGCCATTAGTATTAAGTGCGCGCTGGCTACTTTGGATCCTCCCCCGATGTAGCAGTTTTTTCTGGCTCCTCCCAGTTTTCCCATGCCCCGCTCATTAAAGTTGTTAAGTACTTGGCGTAAATGTGGCTTTTCGAGGGGCCCGTGGGCTGTGAGTCGGAGTTCCCGCAGGACTTTATGGCGGGAAGGGGAGGCCCTGAATGGGCCCGCCATTAAAGTTAATTTAAATGCGCCCTAAGCGCTTTAGTCCGAAAAGCAAGGGGCGCCGAACTGAAAGTAGCCGTGGCAAAACACTATAATATCTGCAAATTTTCCAACCAATGCAGGCGGAAGACAAAACATATTCAATCACTCTTGTGCTCTGACACACCGAAAAGCCCACATTTCTGACTTGTGTATTGTTTTTTCCCAAACAGAAACCACAGCTAGAGCTCCACTTTCATTTCATGGCAAAGTACAAAAGCCTTTCGAACAATTCACTGCACAATGAGTGACATCAGGTGAAAATATGGGGAGTGAATGGGGCATTCAGTCGTCGGAAATGTTTCTTGTGCATATTCTGATTTTTGGTCAAGTCAAGTTCTTAAAATGCTCTATAAATACCTCACTTTTTCAGCATTTCTCTTTCGTTTTGCGCGCCGAGTGGATGCACATTTTTGTGTACCTTAAAGATGCAAATTTGGCATCGGCAATCTGATTCAAAGCCATGCGAGAGATTCTTTAAAGCTGAATAAAATAAAGACAACTGGATTTGGAATTTGGTCAGTAAGTGAACTGTGCTGTATCTCTGATGATCATGCTTGATGCCAATCAAAATGATACGTAGTGCTATATTTGCTTGAGTAGGGTATGTGTTATTCGCCACTGCGAGTGCCTGCTACACTTACACCTTTTGTTGGCTCCTTTATGGCGTGCACGCCACATTTGCGTTCAATGAGCATGAGATAATGTCATCATCAACGTCGTCTCCATCATTCATCGCCAGACTTTCTGGTCAGAGCCATCCGAGATGCAGTGTCTGCTGTCTGGGACCTGGGAGTTGGTCTTTAATGAGTCCACATTTTCCTTTTAATTAGTTCCGCATTTACTAGTCCATCTGATATCACAAAGGTTCCCGATTAATAGGGTATCAGTATTGTTAAGCTGTAATGCCTCCCATTTAAATGCGGGCTTTGTCCACTAACTGATTTAAGAGCAGCTCTGCGTATGGCGATCATTTAAAAAGGTGGGGCGCCACTTGTTGTGTTTTCCTTGGCGAGCGGGCTTAATAAAATAATCTACAATTTCTATGGCTGCCAGCGAAACAATTGCATCTCGCCCACAGTGCGAGTCCTGTGCCAACCAATTCAGTTGCGAATTGTTGCTGTGGCGTATTTTGTTTCATCCAATTAAATTTATATTTACAGCGATGTTTCACACACGGCAGCCGGTGGATAAATCAGCGCAGATATATGATGCAATTCGGGGAACCTGCCGTTTTTATTTGTTTGACATTTGCATATTGGGTTTGATTTTTATTTATTTGCCACGGCGGTGGAGGTTTTTCCCTATTATTTATGTGTCCGTTTTTTCTGCATTTCACTTTATGTGTTATGTGGATTCAGGAGATTTTCACTCTGATTTGATTTTGCATCGCATAACATTTATTTTCCATTTATTGCCGCTGTCAAACATTTACAAAGGGACTTCAATTGCGGGATAAATCCCACTTGGTGAGTCATAAACAAAATTTTTAATAAATCGCGACTCCTTCAGCTGCTTCTTTTTATAGTAATCTCGGGCACGTATTTGCATTTCCGCAGCGAAGCCAAAAGAAAACCTGCTCGGCATATCAATTATTTATAATTATTGTTAATTTTCAAAGCAGGCATCCAAGCAGGCAAACAGAAAAATGGAGCTCACAAAAACAAGGAAAACCACAAAAAGCACCTCAATTAAAATTCAAATTAGAGCGCTTGCGAAATTCCCCCGTCTGGTGGCAAAAGTGCGAAAACTTGAAACCACTGGGAGGTGCACCACTCACCGCCATTCTCCACCATTCACCACCATTTTCACCAGCGTTTCCACCAGCATTTTCCTGCGCCGGAAAACTAACTGCCTAAAATGAAATATGAACCCAGAGCGTTGGAAGTGGGGGAGCGTGACGAGAGCGGGGAAAGCCCACTTCCTTAGCCGTGGACTACTAATAAGAAATTTGTGAACTTTGCAAATTTGCCATCATTAATTCTGGGCGGGGGCAAGGGGCGTGGCAGCCGTGCGGGCCGTGCTGCTTGGTAAATTGTCGAAAGGAACATTTTTCATTCGCCGGTCCGGCGTCCCTCGTCATTGTGTAATAATTGTCAAGCAATTTAAATCGAAGCTCCGAGCGTAATAAATTGTCATATGGCAGGAACGGAGACACGCCCCCACGCCCCCACGGCCTCCAAGGAGCTCGGTTCGGCGGCAAAGTCCTGCGCGGCGCTGAAAAAACAAGGTAATGAGGAAACGGAAATTGTTGCCGGAAGTTGGGAGCCAAGAAAAAGGCGGAAGCTCATTTTGCAATATTCACAGACGACTGATTTCGATTTCTAGCGACGGCTTTTCCCGGGCTTACACCATGAATTGTAAATTGATTGAGGACCCAAACGGAAATCATTCGATTTCGCCTTGTCCCCTGAAGGATTCCTGGTATTTATCATTAATAATAGTGGCCTCTTTCCCTGCGCATAAATCCTGGCATGCCGCTAACTTAAAGAGTAAAGTCCTGGCGGAACGCTTGCTCAAGTCTGAATGTCAATTTTTCGGAATGTATGTCCGGAAATAGGCACTTGCAGCTGGAAAAGTATCTTGAGTATGCAATAATTGTTCATGCCGTAGTAATTGTTAATTGTTAATACCGTCACGACACCTTAATAAACATTTTAGGGATTTCCAATTAATATTCAATGCGTCTCTTTAATTCGGAACCATTTTATTTATTTTGTAACTACAGTATCCTTGGCTCTAATGACAGTGCAAATAGCGTGAGAGCCTGCGCCACTTTACTTCGGCGTATTTAATGAAAATATATATTTTGCGCTTCTGCTGAATTTACCATTTCCATTTCCTGATTCGTCCGGCTCTCCAGGACCTTAGCGCCCAAGGTTTAGGCCGTGTCCTGTGACAGGAGGCAACAAAATTGCTGCGCGAAATGCGCTCGTAAATGCTTCCATGCTGCCAAGTTCTTGTTTGTGAAGAGCTGTTCAAATAAGCACCGGAGCAGCAAGAACAACAGCGTGAGGGGTCCTGGGGTCCTGGGGTCCTGGGGTTCTGAGGTCCTCGGATCCTGGGATCCAAGCGGCGGGGCGTTTAGGACCCGCCCGCCGTTAGTTTCATTGTTGACATTGCAGAGGCAACAGAAACAGAAACAGAAGCAGCAGCAGCAGCAGAAACGCCAGCGTGGCAAAAGTGAGCTGGAAAAAGGCAACAAAAAGCAATTAACTTGGCTTACATCTCTGTTGAAAGCTGAAGCGAAGGGCGCGATTTATGCCGCCGGCGCCACGGGAGCAGGTGCACAGGTGAGCGGCAGTTGCAGGTGCATTTCCAGCTGAGCTCAAGTGTCCACTCGTCCTTCGTCCCTCGTCCTTCGTCCTTTGCTCTGCGTCCTTGGCCGAGGCGTGTGTCCCGCACACTGACAGAAGTTAATGGCTTGGCGCACTTCAGGGGTTAGATCTGCTTTGATTCGCCGTAAAATGGCCAGGATACCAAGAGGTGCGGAGTGCTGGGTGCCCGGCTAAATGATTGAATATTCACTTGGGCAGCTGGCACAATTCTAGCATAGGTTGGTAATCAATGGAGTGGAGGCTGCTGGCTAAAATATTCTATAAGATTTCCGCGGACTTCCATTAAGGGACATACCTTTCGCGGATTCCCCCAAGCTGAAACACTCGGCGGAGAAAGAGTACAGGGTATGGAGCTGATAGTTCGATGTAACCCATTGTAAGCCCAGAGAAACAGCCTTAATCTGCTTTCCTTTTTTATTTGCAATGTTTTGATTTCTCATGTTCAACTGCATTCTACATACCTTTGGGGTATTTATTTTCATTACACGAATCCACTGCCAGCTCAAATTGCATTTGCCGAGGCTTTATTCCCTTTTCCCTTTTGATTTATGCAGTTGCATTAACATCGGCGTGTTTGATTTCGATTTATATTTTCATTTGCGTTTCCGTCTGATTTGATTTGCGTTTTTTCTGCTTTTTTTCTGCTTTTTTCTACCGATTTACCTTATATCTCGATTAGACTAATTATGCTCGCTTACATCGCTTATTTCGACAGAAGCTTAACATTAATTTATTCCCAGTGCTCCGCAGCACGGAATTTATTTGTTGACTTGTTCGCTATTTAAAGTGTTTAAATAGAACTACAAAAAAGCTCATGCGTGTTTTGTTCGATTTGTTTTCAAGTGTTGGACATTCAGCTTTAAGCCGAACAACTCGTGTCTGTGTTTGGTTTTAAGCATAGGCAGAAATATTTGCTACACACAGAGAGCAGGAATCCCTAATAAACATTTATACAACTCGGGGGTACGACATCGATTTGCGGGTTTTTGGGGCAGAGTGTTTCGACTACCAGTGATCTCTGAAAAATAACTCGATTTCTGGACATCTTTGTATTCTCTCTAATTAAAATGGACACAGATATTTGCAAAGACGTAATTGTTCAATAAATAGTTATGTATATTCGCGTTTTTCTGTTTACTTGGTTTTCGTGTTGATTGTGGCAGGTACCTGATACTTAAATATCAATGAGTTGGGGGCAAAGTGGCAGGGACATCTGACTGAAGCAAATAAGGGAGTTAAGAGGTTTCGGCCTTATTCGCTTGCGTGTAAAAGCGCCTAAAAGCGAGCTATGCGAACTACAGCAAAAATGTTATTGTATATGTAATCGCAATACAGTTATACAAATACACAGATATATACGCAAAAAGGTTCAGCCTACACACAAATATATAGATATATATATATAATATATATAGATTCATATTCTAGCTTGTAAATATGGATTTTTAAACTATCCTTAGCCTACGTTGAGTTTTGACTTAGCTTTGGTTTCCTTTACGTTTGGTTTCATTGTTTTTTAACACTTAGGGTTTTTGGCAATTGGAGCTCCGGCCTTACCAACTTGACACGTGGCAATTTGTGGCGCCAAAAGTCTCCAATCATTGGACGAATTGTTGATATACGTTGCGTATCATGCTCAAAGTGAGTGAATAAGAGGGATAGAGCCGTAGCACGAGTGGGTCAGTGGGTTGAGTAAGTGAGAGAAAGATAGAGAGATTTAGGGCTTAGTTCCTTAGATTAGCGTAGAGTAGGCAAACTCGGTTTTGGACGAGTCGGCTAAATGGCCAGTGACACTAATCAGCAGTTTCCAGCACCAATTTTGCGAGTTCACCACGCTTTCGAACAAGAGCACGATCATGTGAATCGCAGTGTGACCAAGCCGCCAAGAAAAGCACGCTTGGTATTCAATGTGACCATGCAACTTGCTAGAAACAGGAAATCAGCTCACGAGACATAAAATCATGTTTGTTTGCCTTAAACAGCTCGTTAAATAATTAACTTTAATGCCCGCTTGTCGTCAAACTGCTGTTCAGTGCCAATGGCCATCGCTCGAAGCTGTTGACTTGCTTGCCTGCGTTGAGTTGTGCTTATATTTTAAAGCTTAAAGGCAATAGGTTTCGCAAACATGGCCGTTAAAGTACATATTCGTATGTAGTAGAAAAGAGTACCAGCTCGCACACACACACAGCCTCGTAAATATGTATGCTATAGCAGCTTATAGTGCGCACTCACAATCACATGCTTCGACAAGCACAAGTTTCAATTTGTTGCACTTTTTGAAGCATTAAGTAGCCGTCCAGGCTTAAGTGTGCGAGTGTGTAAGTGGGTGCCTGCGTGTTGGTGTTAGTATGTGTTGATGTTAGTATGTGTTGGTGTGTGCTGGTGTGTGTGTGAGTTGGCAAAGCGGTTTAGTTTCATTTAGCATTTAACAGTTACTAGTATTTGGTTTTTTCGCTTATTTTTTCCGGTTTGTTTCCGTTTTTCATATTACACAACACTGAAAGCACACGTAAAGTTTTTGTTTCCTAGTTTCCTCTTTTTCCGGATTTCTCTTGCACATTTAGTTAAATTACAATTTACGCACTAAACATGCAGAAAATGTCGTATAACCTTAAAGATCCCCTCCGCCATTACTTTTCTAAGCCTTATGATCTAGTGGCCTCGGCAATTTATGTTACATTTTCTATAGACCTTGCGAAACTTCTTTTGATTTTAATTCGGGATTGCACAACAAACATTTTGGCTCTACTTAGATGCTAGAAACTTAAGTGGTATTTTCCTAAAAGGACTGTGTCTGTTCTCACTCCCAAGCATTTTTTGCTTTCCTCAAGAAATATTTAAATACAAATATACGTTGCCACAAGAAGCACTTTCGCTTCAACAATCACCTATAAAGTGCTTTAAAGTATGCCACAGAGCATAATTTTGGCTTATTGAATTCCGGGAAACACTGAAATATTTATTAATTGTTAACTGTGCGCGGATCTTTGTTGTTAGGAATTCAGCAATTTCTCGAAGAGCAAAAACAGCCACAGACCCCTAATTAATTAATTAATTTCATTTCGTTTCCAATGCGGAACAAAAGGTCGGATCACAATTACAAAAGTGGGATGCAGGCGCCTTAGGAGTTGCCCAGGTTGGACGGCGACGGTGGCCACTGGCGCTTGATGACCGCGAAGTGAGTCATCTGGAAGGTGTTGGTCACCTGGCAGCGGCGCTCCACGAATCCGGTGAGGCAGTAGCCCATGTTGTAGTCCTCCATCGAGATGTTCGACGTCAGATACAGCTTGAACTCGTCGTTCCACGCGGGCTGCGACTTGTCACAGCCCGTTGACCCCGTCCGGATTGCATCGGCAGGTATTGCGGGCGTGGGCGTGGCAGCCACCGAACCATTGCCCGCTGCCCCGCCCCCCGCCGGCGATGCAGCTCCGCCGCCCCCCGCCGTCGTCCGACGAAAGTGTCCGGCAATCAGGAGGGATCCCTGCTGCTCCAGCGGCAGCATCCGGGCTTTCGTCGCGCGCCGCTGGGTTCCGGAGCACTCGACGATGCGGCAGCGATTGGGCTGCCAGAAGCAGGGCGTGATGGTCCAGTAGCTGGATGAGGCGGTCCTCGCCCAGCCCTCCTCGGGATACAGCAGTATCTGAAAGGAGGCGGAGATGATGAAACGTTATGTGAGTGCACGGGGCGAAATTGTGTGGTCTAAATAGAAAACTGTATAATAGCTGAGCGAGTTCTTCAGAGGGAATGCAGTATTAGAGTTTGGGATCACAAGTTTCAGTTTAAAGCCCTTTTGGCCGCTTTAGACACACTTAAACCAGACTTTTTTCTCCGTGTAGCTCTTTCGGACCATCGCAGCCAATTGCAAATTGGTTTTCTGTGTCGCACTTTAATTGAAAATCGTAATTAAAATCGTGCAGATTGTTTAGCCGGGATTTGGAATCGGATTCGGTTTCCATGAAACTGCACCTTAATCAAGTCCACGGCGAGTGTTTATCATTAAGTGGGCAATTATAGCTGAACAGGATTTCGTTTAATTTGGTCGAATTAAATTGGCATAAAATCGACATGAAATTGCTTTTGACGCTTTTTTGGTAGTGAATTTTACACCACAGGAGAGCCAGGCCATATAATCAGATTTCATAATTCACTTGCCCGCCATTCACCTGTTGTTCTTAGGCAATGTCCCCTGTCAATTTGGCCGCCTCTGCTCCATTGCTCGCCATGCTGCATTCCCGTTTTAAATTGACATTTATGTCACTGCCACTGAAACCGCAGTTGGCCGACAGAAGCCGTAAATGAAATTCGTCAGCTAGTTTATCATTGCCAAAATGACTGTCCTCCGCGTGGCTTCAATTTCATTTACCGATTTTGAATGCGGTTGCTGCGGTCAATGTACGCGGCTCTTTCATAATTAATACATTGCACAGTCGCTAAATGCCAGACATTTTAAATATTTGCGCACAACGAGGCGTATGCTTAATAAGCGTCCGGCAAACAGGAAGCAGGGTGGAAAGCACGCCGCTTCCAGGGGCTAATCAAACATTGAACTTGGCTTAAAGGCGCCAGCAGCCCTGCGAGCTGCAAGGAAAACTCCGGCAAATTGAAAAGGGGATCAGGCCGGAGTGGAGCAGGAAAATCTGGAGCCCAAGTGGGGGAGGTGAGGAGACCGAAGGCAAAGGCGAAAGGCGAAAGGCCAGCGGCCAATGGCCACCGCAGGACCCTGGAAACATAACCAGGAGCCAGCCACCACCAGGAGCTGATGCTTTTGAAATTGAAGTGGCTGCAGCTGCAGCCACGAGGAAATGCGCTACGGGGGCTCTCAGTTCTGCCTAGGTTTCGCCCCATCCTCGCCTTTGTTCTCCACTTTGGCTTTAAAATATAAATCCGCATATGCCTCGGGTCGAAACTGGGTTTTCGCCAGGTGAATTGTTTAAAATGAATGCATCGCAGGGCACTTAAAAATGCATCCGCTTACGTTTTATTTACGTTCGACTCCGGCTGACCGAAAACAATGAGGCCGATCGATGCGATTGAGTGTTTGAATGGAAGTGAAAAGCCCGGCCACGGCACATTAAGCTGGAAATGGAAATCGCCTTTCACATTAATGAGTATTGAACGCTTTTCCCTGTCGGAAAATGTCTGATACTCATGGACAGGCATTTAACTTATAAACGCGTAGAGTGTCGGGAAAAGATTTCCACAATTGCTGACGCACTTGAATGACTCCATTTTCCCTAGATAATTATCTCATCTTTCTGTTTCAAATGCCAACCTCTTTTATTTCTCACGGCATTGGCCGTCATGGGACACCGAAAATCGCATTTTCCGCGGAAAACCCAAGCTGATGTCTGGCTTGCTGGCTGCATAGATGGCACATAGACGGCACATAGATGGCACATCAATCCGTACCACCAACTGCCCTTGTGGCGACCAGAGCACGTGCAGCATATTTGTCAACTTGCCCCACATGACGCGATTGGCTTCGCAGAAATTGCGCGCTCGTGTTTGGAAATTATAAAGGCGGGGGGAAATGGAACTGTGGCTCTGCGTACGACTGCCTAATAAGCTGCCAAAATGAGCTTAGTGACGACAGATACCCCACTGATTGGTTGCCCCCTCCGCCCCCCACGATTCTGCCATTGCATTATTCAAAGACGCCAAAAGTGCGCGCTGCCAAATTGAAAATGCAACGGCAGCCACCGATGCACGCAACAAATCGCTTGCCACTATCAAGGGTCATAAAATCCTTCACTGCCATCCGCGTCCTTGCCACCACCCCCTCCACACCCTCCCCTCCTCCACCCGCTGAGCACACATATTGGCTGTGGGGTTTATGCAGCAGGATGCACCAGTGGTGGCCCAGAAGTCACTAATGCCCACAGTGATTGGTAGTGCGGACTCATCTGAAAATACCCAAATATTATATGGAGGAAATATCTCGAATTGTATCTTCTAGTACATATTAATGTTATATCTTTTATAATGATCCCTAAATCGGTTGGCCTTGTCTTCTAGTTGTTCACTATATTTTATTTGTTTTTATTTATTAGCTGGTAATTGCATACCCGAATACACCTATTCTAAAGTGACTGCCAGCACCAGCACCCACAACTATTTATGGGGACACGCACACACGCTCACACCCACACACACTCACACACCCACACACACACACACACAGGGGAGAGCAGACACGTACACGCTGGAAAATCACTTCCGCTTTTGAGCTGCAACGTTGGCAATTTCGCAGAGCAGCGCAGATAAATGGGAAGTGGGTGTGGGTGTGGGTGGGGGCACTAGGAGCAGTGGGAGCACTGGGGCTGCTCCAGGACAACTGGCATCAGGTGGCGAATGCCGAGTGGCGAAATCGAAAACGTGGCCAGGACTGGGTCGTCGCTGCCCATTCACAGACGCAGGGAACTTCTCCTTGAGGCGTCCGTAATCGATTTCTGCGACTCTGCGCGGGAGCCGTTTGTTGACTTTGGGTTTTTATGGCGCGCCACTTTATTGCCACCACAAGTCCACGGCGACCCTATTCCCAAGCCCATGCCCTCGCCCATTCCCAGTTGGCTTCTCAGCTCCGGTTCGGTAAATAAAATGCCAAATGGCAAACGGCAATACCCGAACGCGCAGGGCGAGCTCCATTGTCGCCAATTGGCAACTTTGTCTATTAATTTGCTTAATGAGTTCGGTGACAAATATTGAACGGCTGCAACTCAACGAATAGCTGCCAAGTTTGCAGGATCCTTTGGGTTCCTGGATTCCCTGGTGCCCCTGGAACCCTGGGATCCCCGATTCCCGAGTTCCGAGCACAGAAACTTTTCTCATTTCGCTCGCCCGTTCGCTTCGCTCGACATTAATTAATTAAGTGCTGCCGCAGACATTTCAACACTTTTGCCAGTCAGCCAGTCAGTCAGCCAGTCAGTCAGTCATTCGGGCGGGCATTACTTAGGCAAATGGTCTCTGTGTGTATCTCTGGGCACTTCAACTTAATTACCCGCCCTCATAGCGGAATGAGGGGGCGGAGGAGCTGTGCCTCCAAATCCAGCATAAGCTCGAAAATCAAAGCTTCAACACGATTGTCTAAGCACTTGAGGAGCCCCCGGCCCATCGAGCTATCGAGGTCCTTCCAGCCAGCCGCCCACTCATCCATCCCTGCACGCAACTCCACTCAAAGGTCCTTCGAGCAATTTAATGAACACTTCTGATGTGGAAGGATGGAGCAAGTTTTCCGCTAAGACGGAGAAGGGAGCTTTCTGGAAGATTAAACGTAAGCAACTGTGTTTCCCATTTTTGTAGAATATTGCCTTTGTAGCAATATCCAGTAACATACTTATTAGGGGCAAAGGTATAGCAAGCATGGAAAATTCTAAGCTATAGTTTAGTTCTGGGAATAATACAGATATTACATAATATTACAGATTTTTCCATCCCTCCCCGAAAGCAGAGCCTTTGTTTCATCCGTGAGCAAACTTCGCCTCGAGTTCTTTACGCCATTCTTACGTGTACGGAAAGGCATTCCATTGAGTTTGGGGGAAATTGGAGTTTTCCTCGATTCATTTCGATTTCTTCGCTTCTCGAGAGCGCAAATGAGTTTTTGGCTGATTGTAAAACTTATCTGCTGGCTTTGTCTTCGATTGCCAGTGCCAATTGTATCGGATATTTCCTGTTTGTGTTTCATTATGCGCCTCACGCGCTCCACTATCCGCATCGCCTCCTTTGTCCTTCGAATGGAGCTATTCAGGAGGTCCTGGGAGCTGGGAGGCTGGCGAAAGTTTTAATAAGTTGCTCATTAGCACAGAAATGGAAAAGCTGCTGCTGTGGCAGGCAGACAAAATAATTTACACGCCAACATCCGTTGCAATTAAACTGCAAGGGTGAACTTAAATTTCCGGGTTAGGAATCGCCGCTGGCTTCCCGGATGGCCTCGCCGTCTTGGCCTCCATGCTGCCCATCTTGGCCAAGTTGTCCAAGTTTATGGCTGACTGCCGCCGGCTGAATGTAGATGTCAACGGATGGGCCCACAGCGAAACTTTGCCCGCCAGTATTTTCTAAATTTAATGAGTTGTATTACGAGCAGCTTAAAGAGGGCAGCCCCCATCCCCGCCAGCCGCAACTTGGTGTAAACTTCTATATGACAAAGTTTCGCTCGCGAGTCCTTGCGGCGTCGCAAGTAATGCACAAATTAAAGTTCTTTGCCAAACTACACCAGGCAGTGGCTGCTGAAAGTTTCCTCCATCCTCGCCAGCGCTAGTTGACATGTTGAGTCGCACAAGGATATGCGTGGCTACAAATTTGATATGTTAGACAAGTCCCGGCTACATGGAAATGGCAAGTGGGATGCGGGATGCGGGATGCGGGATGGGGAAAGTGGGAAATGGGGCTCTGGGCTGCATGGGAATCCACTTGCAATCCTCCAGTCGCTGCACCATGGGCGATAAATGCCGGCAAACTTTGCGGAAGGATGCGGAGCAGCAACTATTGGCAGTGCCAGGATTCCGGATTCAGGATTGGGGGGTTAATGCGAGCGGAAATATAGATATTGCTTTTAGTTCAGCCATGTAAATGCCGTCGTTTATTAGGGGATCACTGCGATATAAACTCGCTGGCGTTTTCTGCAACATCTGCAACGGAATTTAG